TTGGATGGCGTTGACCATGACTATTAGTTTTGCATCATTCCAATTTTTATTTTTCTGCAATTTTTGTGGTTTTTATTTAGTGCTGCTGTGATGCGCTGTAAGATCAGTGCAAACTAGGAATGTTAATCCCGGGAGCCCGGGCTTTTTTTGGTCCCGCAAATCTTGGGATCCTTGGGATATAATCCCGGGATTTGTAATTTGCCCTGATGGCAATAATAGAAACTCCTTTTCCTGACCAGTATTGGCTATATTTGTTTTTTTTTAATAATTAATATTTTTTTATAAATTTCTAGCTTATTAGATACACATATAACACCGTGCGATAGTAAATTTTACACACCAAATATTGTAAAATTTCGTTTTTAGTTTTTCACTCTGACGCTGTAATCCGAAAATGATTTAAAAAATTCTTTGAAATGAGCTTAGAGAAGAAGTAGAAGAAGTTTTATCCTTGAAACTTTGCAATATTTTTTTTTTTTTTTAATTATATGTTAAGGACTTATATAAACTCGAACATATCCTGGAATTTCATCCTTCCAACTTTATCAGCTTAAAAAATTTCTTATTTGCCCTTGTGAATCTAAAACATTGTAATTTTTGTAAATTCTCAAAAACTGTCCACTTTCATTTGGTTTTATTGAATTTTTTAAATAATTTTTGGAAGTAATCATATCTTTGAGCTTACAAAGTCGTTTAAAATAAATCCTGACGTCGGAGAGAAAAAATAAAAACGCCACTTTGAATGCAAATTAAGTTTCAACCCCATTTATTTATTATTTATTTTATGGTGGGAGAGATAGAAGCAATTTTTTCGATTGAAGTTGTTGAAAAATAATGAATATCTAAATCCCGTGACTAATCCCGGGATCACGAGATTATGATAACTACATCCCGAAAATCCCGGCATCGTAAAAAGCGAATAAATTAACAAGTACATATTACTGCCGCAGAAATATTACTTTTATTTGGGGCAAATTTAATTGCAACTGCTGTTGCTGCTGTGCTATTTGCACAAAATTTAATTAAAGCCGTTGGCTATTTGTAGCCTACATCATTTAAGTGACTGATTTTGACTTTCATAAAGCAAATAATGCGCTTTGTTAATGACACCAAATAAAATTTATATATATGTAAATATGTGTGCGGCAATTGTGTGGGTTTATTTCGCCAATGTTACTTAATTGATACAATTATACGCTTAATTACACTTTGACTTGATTTCTTTGTGTTGATAGATAGGTGACACTGAGCTGTCACATTATTGGGTAAATTTTGCATTTTTGCTTTTTGGGCAGTTTTCTACGAAATTAGTTGTTTGCAACATTGGAGGCCACTTAACTAACAACATTTTAGTTGTAACATACAAAAATTGAAATAGCAATGGGAATTTTGTCTCTTATACAAATATAACTTACTCAGGTGCTGCTATATATCATTCTAAGTTCGTGAATATTCCAAAACATTTTATATTCCAATAGCGGTCGCCCTCGGCAGCCACTAGGAAAGACTTGATGCATTTTTTATAACATTTAGATTTATTTGTTTTTTGCAATTTTTCTGTTTGAGGAGATAGGATTTTCTTTAAAATTGATACTTTCTGTGCTCTTTGCACAACAAGATTTAATATATTTATATAAAATAAAATTTAAAATATTTTCTTCATCTCATCAGCTTTCGTTAAAAAAAAAAAATAACTAATAAAAGCAGTTCATATTTGCAGGCTCAACACCCCTTTGAAACTAAATTTCTCGATGTTAGTTATTTAGTTATTACTTAAATTAATGGTTCAGAGTGTAGAGAAACTTATAAGTTTTAGTCTTGCTCTGGCCAACGCCGTACGTCTATTAGTATGCAATACTTAGACGGCTTCCACATCCATGGTCAGGCATATCCGGGGCATACGAGGTATCCCGTTTGCGATTAGATATCTTGTAAACGGGAGGATAACCAAATAGCCTAGGCAGTCTAAAGCGGAGGCCACGCAATGAGCGGATGAGCGGTGAGCGGCTTAAAATTAAAACATATGTAATACTATTGAAGTGGCCATGCAATAAGCGGCACTTCTGAATGGTTGGGTGGCGCTGCTCAGTAATAAAAGCCGCTCAACCGCTCATGGCATAGCCTCTGCCTAAGACCATTTACCGCTCTTTCGTTCTGAGTTTACCAACTCAGTGATTATGTGTCTGGAACATGACTAAGCCACTACGCAAAATGGCTCCGGCCCCTCTCACGAATTCGTCGGTAACTTATTTAGTTTCCTTACATACTGCAGGAACCTGGTGCCCCACACAATTTTACCTTGTTTTCTAGCTGTCAAGAGGTGAAGAGTGTCGAATAGCTCAACGACGAGCTTGAAAATAGTCATCCCATTGAATAGGGTTCCAATGACGGATTGGTTTTTTGAAAATATGAGTATAACCACGCGTTTCAAACCATTTTCAAGGTTCGTTCTGGATCTGGCCGATATTGCTACCAGCTCGACCTTAAAGAGCTCGACCTAAAGGCCGTATACAGGTCCTGCTCTTAATAAACTGGACTGGCAACATGCTAAGTTTTACCTCAGTTCTTTCGTGCTTGTACTTGCAAAATTTTTCCTAGATGTCTTAAGTCAGTCTCTATACAAAATTCATGTTAATTTACAGCTGAACAATAGATAAATAATTTTGCATGCATGAAAGCGATTTTGAACCCCGTACCACACCGATTATGAACCATGTTAAGCTTTTGCCTGTTGCCTTCCGTATAAAACATGCCACTTGACCACGATCTTGTCGTGGGCCATTAGAGAGAGTACAAAAAAAAAACTACAGCCAGGTCGCATGAACTTCATGTAACTACCTACATATGTATGTAGATCGATGTTTGTGTAGCCATACATATATTTCTCTGCCCGCGCTACTGCTACTTTACACACTTCGAGCCAATCAAGCAATAAAAATAAGGAAAACCAACAAGCATTTATTTAGTTATAACTTGTTAAGTAAAAAATCCAGTTTTTGTGCAAAACTGCCGCCTGTTGCAAGACGCAGTTGACTTTCAGTCGCAACATGCCGTAGTATGTGGGGGTTGTCGCAGCACCGCTGCTGCTGTTGCAACGCTTTCACTGCGGCGCTCGGTCATTGCTTGGCATTTGTCTTCTACTTTCCCGCTGGAAGTCAGCAAAGGCCGGTTTGCTAAACTACCTTTTTAGTTTAATTTTTATATTTGGAATTTTTGCCGCCACTTTGATCAATTTATTACAGTTCATTGACAATACATATTTTGTGATCACAACAATGAAGCCAGCAGCGGAGCTGGTAGTGAACAGTCGCCTCTGGCGCTTTGGAATTCAAATTGATTGGCCTCTTAAAAGACTGCCCGAACAAGTCTTATGCATAATTTCTGGGCTTTCTTTTAAATTAATCTATTGAAATGGCGCGACAGCAACATCTGCCGTAAACTTGCCTTTGGCAGTATAAATAAATATACATATTTTACGTATCATCCATTGTCTGAGCGGTGAAAGTTTTACCACAGCTCTTCGTTTATTTAATTAAGTTGTTTATAATGATGAATGTAGCATAATGTGAGCGTACAAATCAACGTTTTGAAGCATTAACCGCAGTAAAGAGGCTAAGAGTGGATAATTGTAGATAAGTACTCTTACAGAGTACTCGAATATGGTTGTATATATGCCTATTCCTAGAAAGTGTTAAAGCTTTCTTGTATCTTTAAAGCGAATTTTCGCCTTGTTGGTCTTAAGCGAAACAGCAGCAGCCCCTCTAATACTTTAAGCTCATATCGAGTTGTCATCGCTGGTAATTTCTTAAATAATTTGCAACTTTCAACACATTTAAGTGCGATCAAGAGGGTGGCATCTTTAAGTGGGCCAACGTAAATGGATTGAGGTTAACACCTTCGAAATAGCACTGGTCTTGTTCACTAGAAAAAGCACAAGATCCCGCTTTTTTCTTAGATTAAAAGTACTACTTTGGATTTCTCATCAGAAGCAAAATACGTAAATGTCATTAAAGACCGAATTGCAAAATTAATGTGGACGAGATCTGTTAAAAGGCTTTTAGACTGACTCTTGTGTTATGTGATCTTAACCAACTTCTATAAAGTTTAACAAGAAGTGGGTAAAGTGCAAAGACCCTCACGCCTCGCTATATACAGGCCGGAGATGAACACGATTTTCAAACTACAGCCGCTGTAAATTATCTTTAATGTTTTGGCCACAAAGAGTAATAGTAAATTAATTATGAAGGGGCCGGCAGTGGTCTGAAATCAAAATCTTAAGCGAGATATGCAAGAAGACTAAAAAGAAAGGTTTTTTCCAATATTATCAAATGATGCGCAATATAATAAATTTGTATATCCGTAATATATCATTTTCGGCTATGAAACTCGTCCTTTCAGACTGACTACCCAACACGAAATCCAGTGTCCATGCGGTTCGGAAACTTGTACTTTCCGACCGAACACAGCCTACTGGATTGTAATTACTTAAATATAGAAAAGCGAAGGCGAAACTAGTCCTTTCCACCCGCCCAGGCAGTGCGGCTCTGGAACTCATTTTTTCAGAACGCCTGTCCAGGACGATATTCAGCGATCTTTCTGCTCGGAATCTTGTCCATTCCGACAGCCGCATAAACTGCAATAAACATATGCATGTATATAATAATAAATTTCTAAGCATTGTCACAGAAATTTTAAATCTAATGGTAGTTTCTACGATTCGAAAACTTATTGTTAGTTTCGAAAGAAAAATTCAATAAATACAATAAATATACAAAAAAAAACTATAAATATTTGATTATTTAAATTAAACTATTTTTAATGTAAGCTGATGAGATTTAGAAGGCTCTTGTCGAGAAATGAATTTCTGTTTCTACATACAAATAAGTAGGTATATACTTACTTATTATAAAAAAAAATATTAAATATGAATAAATATTTCTATCACTAATTTCCATGTTTGCTTTCTTTCTACTTTCTCTCTCTCTCTCTCCCATTCACAGCCGAATTCCCCGAAGAGGACACTGACATGCTTATGGAACCGAATGACTTCACACCAGTCACCGTTCTACGTTCGCAAGAGCAGCAATTCCACGTGCCGCCCACCTACCATTTTCGCTCCATCCCACCACATTCCAATCCACATGTAATCGCACGTGCCGATGTGCACCCCGCTGCACCGCAACCCTCCGCTTCCATCGACTCACACACACAGGCGGCACAAAATTACTATCCTCCCTTCTTTCGTGAAGCGCCACCACTAGGCCATTCGCGCCCCTACTTCCCAATACCCGATAGTCCAGCCATACCAAAATTTGCCGCGCCGCATCCCGAACAAGTGCCACTGGGTCCAACGCAGCGCAGCTTTGATCCGGCCATATTGGGTTCGGGTGATTTTGGTGTACTGCGTGGCGGCACTTTCTATCCCGAAGAGGAAATGTCCTACCACACCGATGAGAATAGTGATTTCAGTCAATACTATGGCGATGCAAATGGACATGGACGGCCGTCCAATGAGGAGTTCGTACAAAAGTACACCTATCCAGAGGAACAGTTTGCCGATTTCCGTGACTTTGCTGACATAAATACGCCCGCCGATTCAGCTTTCTCGCAATATGTTGTTGTATATGCAGCTAAAAATTCAACTAAACCCAGCACGCATCCACGTCCGAAGAACATCTTTGAACAATTGGAATTGCTCGATCGCGAGAAAGAGCAAGAAGAGAAGAAGAGGCGAGCGAGCAAATCGAAATCGAAATTGTCCAAAACGAAATTGCAAAAGAAATACAAGAAGAAGACAAGTCCGAAGGATGTGGACTATGAACCGCTGTTGGCATTAAGTTAAGCACTTAGAGGTAGAGAAGGTTAAGCAAATTGTAGCATATGAAAAAATTATTTATAGAGCGGAAGTGAAAGATTGGATTCGAGGGTGAAAATTTGAAAGCAATTTTGCAGTGACATAAAGAAGCGCTCTCACAGAAATATTTTGCAACAACCTGTTAGGTTGGCATAGCTCACATTGAATTATTTGCTGGATTACTGCTAAGATTTCAACCAAGAATTCGCCTGAAATTGGGCAGCATATAAAATAACTTTCAAAAATAAAAACTGTACAAGTTCTGAGGAAATTTTTCAGGCTAACGTAATATTTAGGAATTTTGCGGTAAAATAGCTATAGCACTGCTCACTTTTTAGTTATCCACTGCCGACTAGAGTACACACTTCGATAGCATTTCTTATATAATTCATACTTTTATACTCAAAACCTTTTCAGTATAGACAAGCTCAAATTTTAGTTTTAGAATACGGCAAGCATTTACCATTTAAGTTTTTACATGCAGTGATTATTTCTTGCAACCTCTCATTTCTTCTTTGACACATCTCACTAAGGAAATCTAATTTTTAGCATAATGTTTCATTAAAAATTTTTTTTAAATGTCACAACAGAAATTTCATTTGTCGTTAGCTTAAATTCGCTACAAAAAAGGAATAAACTCTTTTTTTTAAATCAGATTAGAAAAGTATGTACATTAGGATGGCGCAAAAAAGTAAAGTCGAAATTTTAATGCACTCACACCCAAGGAATTTTCTATATTGGTAAAAGTATACCCAAATTTTGTTATTTTGAAATCAAAAAAATATTTAAAGGTCACTCAAAGCGCTCAAAGTTTTCCATATTTTTTTATATGGAAAAAGCAACTTTTCGTAGAATTTTTTTTCGATCGCGAAACTCCAGTTCTGTACAGGAGACTTTCCGGAATAATACCAATTGCTTATTTAGCCATTAAAAAAACAGGCGTATACTTTTCTCCGATATAGAACAATCCTACGGTTGTAACATGCATTTTTGGACCACCCTAATGTGCATACGATATTCCCTCTCTGACTATCAGCATCGCACATTCGTTCATTTCATCCAAAAAGTTAAGTTAAGCAGTTAATTTAAAGAAAGGCGCCACTTCCAAACATTCGTGCTGGCTGGACTTTGTTTTGGTTTATTGGCAATTATTTTTTTTATGTACTTTATTTCCACTTAAATAGTTGTAAGCGTACCAATTTATGACGGTAAACAATTTTCTTTTTTTGTTTAGTTGCAAACGGTTATTATTTTTTCATTCTGTAAATTTTAGCGATTTTCACATTTAAACAAATAGTTTTGATTTTAAGCAAAAATGTTATTATCTACATTTAGTATTTGAGATTATGTTTACTTATTGTTTTTTATAGAAAATAAAAATATTTAATAAAAAAATTGCAAAATTGGTTTAAATTAAGGAATTTGATTAAAGTTTCGTTTAGATATTTTCTTAGCACTTTTAATACTTTTTTCACTTTTTTAAGTGACAAGTTATTAAGTGTTATTTTGGTAAAAAATAAAAATAAAAAATGTTGTGGCAACACTGTTCATTATGCAAACCACGAAGATTAAAGTGACCCGCAAACAAAAAAAAATCTTCCAATTTGGCACTGAATATTTTTGATTTTGTAATGACGTGTATGCTTGAAAATTTTACTTGACTACCGGTGTACATCGCTAGCCTCTTTTTCGACCTATCATCTTCTTTCTTACATATATGTTGTTGCTTTAATTAATCAACTTTCAAAAGACAATCAAACAGTTGACCCATTGTAATACATATAGACATAATACAGTTACTTAAGTGTTGCTAAATAACATCTAACTGCGCTAACTAAATCAAGATCGTAAAAGCTTTATTAATTTGATATCTTCAAAACACAATCTTGCACACTTTGTCACTGAGGTGGTCATGATTGCCAGCGATTGGCAAATACATGCATTCACCGTTGAGCTGAGCTACAAAACACACTGAAGGTGTTAAATATTGTAGTTTAATTAATTGCATATAAAATCTGATTGAATTGAATGAGTGACCGAACAAGACGAAAACAATAAAAAAAAGTCGATTAAGAAAAAATAAAAAAAATATATAAAATCAAATAAATCCGCTAAAATTGTAAAAAATTTGAGCGAACATTGCCACAGACAAGAGACAAGTGAATGTGTCGCATGTCGAACAGCTGCCTGAAAATCTAACACGCTACAAGCGGTGACAAAATTTAGAAATACATATGTATGTATGGTGATATGTACATATGTATGTATGTACAACAAAAAGTTTATTTTTATGTATTGCATGTCTAATGCCTTGTAATGCCAAACACATGCGCGCAGGAAAAGACAAATTATAATAAAAACTTTTATTGTTCCAAGACTAAATCAGCGCCAACCAGCCAACCAGCCAACCAACCAGATAATGACCATGGCCAAGCGCACAATTTTGTCTGCCGGAGTTGGACAGCTGTGACCCGTTAAATTGACGACTTGTTCCGCCTAGAAGTGTGTAGAGCGCGCGCCGCGTGTTTTAGCGCCTCAGGCGGTAAGTGAAGGCTATAGAAGGCCGGTCACTCAGTTCGCAGACAATCAAGAACATTTGTTGCGTTTGCGAAAAACGTAAATGGACATACAGTGGCGGTCAAAAATGTATGAATGGTGTTTCGTTTTTAATATTTTCAATGTTTTTCAAGCTAAAATTTTTTTGATTTTTTCTTTTTATAAAAATATGGTTCAAGCTTTAACAAAAACTATATAAAACACACTTTCAAATTTTGTGCAGAACTTAGAAAAATTTACTTATTAATTCATTTATTTAATCAACAACAAATTTTTAGAATTTTTAGAAATTTTTTGGGTGTGCTTATGAAATTCTAATAAAATAAGTGCAAGATTTGAGCGGCAAAAAAATGACATTGATTTTTAATAATTTATTTTTTGTTGACGTCGTTTTGCACTTTTTTCCATATAAACATGAATTGCTTGAGGAAGAATATGCGCAAGACCGTTTGCGAAACAAATAAAAAAAGGCAACGCCAGTTTTACTAAATTTCGCTATTTATATGAAAAAACCCGCAAAAGCCGTCAGCAAGAAAAATATTCAAAATCAGTGCGATAATTTTACTAGAAGTTCATAAGCTTGTTTGTTAACTGCATACACAAAACATTTCTAAACAATCTGGTTACAAAGCTCGAAATTTAGATACAATTTTTTTCCAAGTTCTGTATAAAGTTTGAAAGTGTGAATGATATAGTTTTTGTTAAAGTATGAACCATATTTTTATAAAAAAAATATCAAAATATATATATATAGCTTGAAAAACATTGTAAATATTAAAAACTAAACGCCATTCATCGTTTTTTGACCGCCACTGTAAATACTTGCTAATATATATGTATGCAAATAGTTGTTTGCTGGCACATTACGCGCTGTTAAGTACAATTTTGTTTAACTTGTCAGTAATAAAGAATAAAAGACGATGGGCGTGTTTGTGGCGCGTAAGTCAATGCTTGTAGCTTTCACTATAAATAAATAATGTGAAAATTGGCAGGTACGTGCACTACTGCATACACATCTACATGCATACAACTTTATATGTACCTATGTTCTTAAATAATTAAAACGATTTTTAATTACTATTTCAATGCATATATGTAATTTGCCGCAGGACAGTCAGGCGTTTGCAATTAAATATGTATGTAAATATATTTTTTATTTTTTTTTTTAATTCTCATAAACTGTCCACATTACGGCATTGTGATTGATTTATCGCCACTAAAATCGCGCATTAGTTAAATATGTATGCCATGCGGGTCCATGTATGTATGTAAGCTCCTACAATGTCTATCAAGTACGCGCATACTCGGACAACTGTATAATTACCTCTATGTAAGTACTAATCCCGCGCATATCTGGACATTTTTGTAGGAGTGACAATCTCATCGTTTGAATTATTCGCTACATGTACATTTTATTGCACACAATTGATATGTATGTTGACATAAGGCAACAAATTAATGTCACCTATCACCGTTTATGGTTGGGTGTTAACCAAGCAACCCACTCGTGGGTGCGCATGCGCATTGCATAGCTGCCTACATGCACCAAATTCTTGCATTTTGATTGCATATTAACGAGCATGACTATCAAGTATAAGATAAATTAAATTATAATTTTGATGAAATGAGCTTTATGTTCTTTAGCTGGTAATTTGATTTTTTTATTGCCCACCTCTGCATTTTGCTTAATCATTTTAAGATATAATCTACATTCAAAAGTTGTCTGATATTGTCATATCGCACTTAACAGCTGCAATATGTTGGCGCTGTGGTCTGTGTGGGAGGTAGTATACTTGTGATTAGTTGACTACGCGGAAATACAGAGAAAAAATAATGCTTATTTGCTTTGAAAGACTACGGCATTTACGGTGTTTTAAAAGCTGAAATCCACTGAAATGACTAGGTAAACGAAATATGTATCTTCCCAAGATGTAAATAGAGTTGGCACTTTCTCTTCCAATTTTTGGGTGCGTCCTAATATTGGTACACAAATTTAGGGATCTTCAAAAAACCACCTCCGAACGTCAGAGCGGTTTTATAAGCAACTTTTTAATGGCAAACTTTACTCAAAGGCCGCTCATTGCTTTCCGAGGTGTTTAGTTGGCTTGAATCGTTTGATTAACTAAAGGAATTGGTCATCATTTTTCCGATACAGGCGGCAGTTCTTTTTCACTTAATGTAGGTATTGCTTGGTTTTGTGTGTATTATCCTTCTTTCTTTAAATTCACAGGATACCTATTGCCAACTCTACTCAAAAAGGCCGCACGTTCTACGTTACAAAATTCCTCCAATTTGAAGGAGAGTTGACTTAGCATCAACCGTATCAAGAACGAGGTGGCTTTATGAACTTCTTTATATACCTGAGAACTGAGGCATGTCAGCCTCTTGTTATTTTAACTTTGACTTTTGTAATTGCAGTTCTGGATAAGAAGTTGAGTCGTGGGAAGACAAAGCTAGATTGTATCAGGAAGCATCTATAGCTCTTT